GGTAATAAAAATAAATCATGTAGCAATACTAGCTACCACAGGGATAAACTTTGAAAACACTGTAACTCACACACAAACATAAATATATTTTATGATTCCACTTATATAAAATGTCCAGAACAGGCAAATCCAGAGATAAAAAAGCGGATTAGTGATGACCTAAGGTTGGAGGATGACTGCCAATAGGTATGGTGTCACTTTTGAGAGTGATAAAAATCAAGAAAATAAAAAGATAAAAATGTTCTAAAATTAGATTGTGATGATTATTGCACAACTCTGTAAATACTCTAAGAAAATTATTTTGTACATTTTTAAATGGATTGCATAGTATGTGAATTATATCTTAATAAAACTTTTTTTTTAAGACAATGTAGTTCACAGTTAAACTTAAAAGTTTAAAAGCAAAATCTTCAATAGTAAGTTAGTTCATTGTTATTGCCCCTACTTAGTAGGTGACAGGACAGAAGACTAGAGATTCAAAGATGCAATATGAAAAATGAAAACATGGAACTACTGTTCACGAGTTATTTTCAGCCAGAAGGTTAGTATTAGTACTACAGAGCCAGAATCAATACTATTTCAATAACAAAACAGTTCTATCAGCTTCTGGGCCTCTCTCCGTAACTGCAAAATTAGGACTTGTAGCTGATGAAATAATTTTTAAAAGACAGAGAAAAAAGAGATGGCCATTTTCCCTAAAGAATTTGCTAGGCAACATCCTCTAAATGTGTGAATATACTTGGCCTTTCAGAATTACATTAAAAAAGAAAAGTAACTCCCTTATGACACGTGGGAATCAACTAATACTGCTTGTTCCGTTCAAGATTAAAATAAGGATAATTATATATATGAAATGTCAAGCTACTATGACTCCTCAAACAAAAAGAAATAAGACTAGAAGAATACTTTGGTATCATAGCTGAGAAAGCAAGTAAGTAATGATATACAAGAAACAACTAACAAAAAATCACGTTAAGCAACATGGATACTTAGACTTTTACAAAGAGTGTGAATTTTAGGGATGGGTATGTGCGGCACTGTGGGTTAATGCGCCAGACTGCAAAGCCATTTGAACTGCAAAGTCAACAATTCAAGCTCACCAGCTGCTCCTTGGAAACCCTATACAGGGTTGCTATGGGTCAGAACCGACTCAATGGCACTTAACAACAACAATAACATGTTAGCTCCCATGCCCAGGTGAGAAAGGTGTCCTGGTAGTACTGTAGGATAACCACACGGTGAGCAGTTTAAACCCACCAGCCAAACCAATGGAGGAAGATGAGGCTGCCTGCTCCCATAGAGATTTACAGTTTCAGAAACTCTATACAGGATTGCTATGAGCCGGAACTGACGCCATGGCAGTGGGTTTGGTGGTTTGGGTTTTGCCCTGGTGACAAACATAGTGGCTAAGTGCTCGGCTACTAACCAAAAGGTCAGTGGTTCAAATTCATAAGCTGCTCTGTTGGCTAAAAATGTGGCAGTCTACTTCTGTAAAGATTACAGCCTCAAAAACCCCATCAGATAGTTCTATCCTGTCCTACAGGGTCACTGTGAATTGGAGGAGGCGGTTTGGGTTTTGGTGTATCAGATGTACAACAAATCTTGTATCTGCTATCAATTTACTGTTATTCTCTGTTGTTCCGTTCCTCTTCAGTCAGAAACAGCTAAGAATCTAATTTCTTAAAAATACTACTTCAAAAAATGAAAGAAATTGCTCAAACATAATTAGAACAAGGATAAAAGAGTTTAGTGTTTCCAATTTAGAGAAGACAGGGTATCACCTTAATCAAATCTCTTTAATGATTGTGATGGTAAAACAAGAGATAATGATGGAGATACATCCAGGGTAAGGCAAAGGATCTGAAACATCCAGTCTGTGCATGCTACTACCTCGGCATGGAATAGGAAATAAGGTGAGATCACTGCCTGTGAATATGGACGGGGGTAAGCACAGACAAAGACTATTTGGATTATATGATGTTCAAGTAATTGAACCTGGGGTCTGAAGAGTAGAATGCAGGGTTATCTGCCAAAGGCAAGGATGAAAGATAAAAGCCCCTGGTAATAATAATACAGGGGAGCACAACAGCTCCATGGGAGAAGCACTGGACAGCAAACCACAAGGTCATCAGTTCAAGACCAGCAGCTGCCCCATAGAAGATGAGGCTTTCTGTTCCTACGAAGATTTAAAGCCTCGGAAACTCTACAAAGGGTAGCTATAGATCAGAACTGACTTGATGACACCTAAAAATAACAATAATAGTACAGGGAATCAGGAAAAGCAACCAAAACTGGTGGACAGTGCAGTGATTTTCAAACATCTCGTTTGTTTAAACTGTGCTTCCTTAGGGCAAAAGATGACTAGCTACTCACAAAAGCCCACTTTCCAGTGGAAAAAGAATTCAGGGGTAACAATAAAGCAAGTTATAGGGAGAACACTCGTTTATATTTGAACCAAAATACATTACAGGTACTGTTGATTTTATTGTACTTCGTTTTACTGCACTTTGCAGACACTGTGTCTTTTATAAATTAAAGGTTTGTAGCAATCCTGTGTTGAGCAAGTCTATCATCAGCACCATTTTTCCAACAGCACATGCTCATTTTATGTCTCCGTCACATTTTGGTAATTCTTACAATATTGCAAACCTTTCCATAATGTGATTGCATACTCAACTAACTACCAAGAAAGAAAAAAACCCACTGCCATCAAGTCAATTCCAACTCACAGCTATTTACATAGGGTTTCCCAGGCTATAAATCTTTACAAGAGCAAACAGCTTCATCTTTCTCCTGTGGAATAGCTGGTGGGTTTGAACTGCCAACCTTGTGTTTAGCAGCCCAACACCTAACTCACAACACCATCAGAGCCCACAGACTACAGTATAGTGTAAACAGTTATATGCACTATGAAACTAAAACTTTGTGTGACTCACTTTATTTGCTTTATTGCTAGAGTCTGGAACTGCACCTTCAATTGTTCCAAGGCATGCCTGTATAATCTTAGAATCAAGATACTAGAAAAATTAAAGGCTAAATTGTTGTTGTTAACGTTCCGACTCATAGGGACGGAGGAACGGCTGCAGCATTTGCACCACTGACTTGAGGTTAGCAGTACAATGCTCATTCTACAACCCTCATCAGGACTCCAGGCTAAAATTAAGTTGATACAAATATGTCTCATTATTCAGCCGGGAGTTAACCTAATAAACCACTTAACAAATTAAGATGATAACACTAAACTCAGTCATTTATCATAGAAACAAGAACTTGAAAAACCACAACCAATTCGAGACAACACTGGTGGTACTTTGCTTGGTTGCCAGCTGAAGCTCAGCAGCCAGTTTTTAGTGGAATTCTGAAACAGCATCCTCAATAAGCTCCAATGAACACTGTATTTTGTGAAAAGCCAATGTTAACAACTATTAATGCACTTAATAGGATATTAGTAAGTAGCCCTTAGTTTTTACAAAATTAACGACTCGGAAATGAGGATCACTTTCAACAGCTTAAGAAAATGAGAAAAGCGTGGTGGTCACAGGCATAATGATACGGGTGGAGGGAAGCAAGGAACAGCCAAACTGTTTTAGAAGCGTTTCAAAAAGGGAGCCAAAAGTCACTTTAAAGGACAAAAGGCAAAACTTGAGGATGGTCAGGAGCAGGATGGCACTGGAAAAGCGCTGGGAATGAGCCCTGGAGAAAGAAATCACACAGGTGGAACTGAAAAGTAAGGGCTCCAGGCTGGCCCTATTTCAACGACTCTTTCATCATGAAGCACTCTCCAAGAAAAAGCAGGCAGAGCCTAGCAAAACTCATTTTTGGAGTGACATAATACTGAATGGAGGAAAGAGAATTATAGCTCTAAGGAATTAGTAAACTGAAGGGGAAAGAGAAAAGTAGTTCTAAGATTGCGGTTCAAACTCACCAGCTGCTCCTCAGAAACCCTATACAGGGTCAAAAAGGTCCTGTAGATCGTAACCCCCAGTTGAAGCAAAACAACAGTAGTGAACTAACAACGTCAGTGAGCAAATTTTGTTGCAATTGGCAAATGGGAAATTGATTTGCTGTGTAAACTTTCACAGAAAACAATATTAACAAAAAGAAATATTCTGAATCCAGAATGACTGGATAGGTATCTCCACTCCTACACTTAATTTTCTCTGCGACCTTAAGCAAGTCACTTAACCTCTCTGTTCTTCATCTGTAAAATTGGGGCAGTAACAGTATCTACCTTAAGTAGGATTGTGCCGCGGTGGAAATAAATTAAATGTGTAACATAATGTCTTGCACTGAATATGGAAAGCGCTACCTGAGTTTTCATTAATTGCAAGTAAACTGGATCGGTTTTGACATCTCCAAATCGAGTTATGAAAGAAAAGTCATGGGAAACGGGCCACATTTTTCTCAGCAACGAGAATACCATCAGGCTGTGCCTTTGAGAAGACTTATACCCCAAGCACGGTTCGCGAACACACGCTCCCAGGAAAGGGGCGCAGCTTGAGGGAAGCTTCCTTCTTTCCAGGGCCTAGGAATTTCAGGGGCACGTTTCTGGAAGTGGTTGTGATTTTAAGGGGGCCAGAGTTTCATTTCCAAGCAAGAGATGATTGTGTGAAATTCCGTTCTGTCGGAAAAGCAGAACTTAAGTCTCGGGCGGGACACGGGTTCGAGTCGGAGGGACAAGGGTGAGGTCCCGGGGGAAGATCTGCTGAGAGCCACCATCTGTCGGGCGCTCTCCAGCGGCCGGCGCTGGACTGGCCCCGGAGAGAGAACGGAGGCTGCCGGGCCAGAGGGCGGCTGGGAGAGTCGCGGGCCAGAAAGGGACCCCACGTCGGGGTTCCAGGGGGAGAGCCGCCTCACCGAGGGCGGAGGCCGTTCGGGGGTTCTCCAACGTGAGGGGAAGACGCCAGCCCTGAGGGAGTCCGCGGGCGGCCCGACCTGAAGGAGGCTGCCCGCGGGTCCCGCCCGTGCCCGCCCGTCGGTGGCCCCGATACCCGGAGTACCTGAGCGTGGGCCCGATGCAGGCCGTGTCGGTGCTCTCGATCTCTCGCAAGATGCGCTCGTGCTCCGCCGCTGTCTCGAGGCTCTCCGCCTCCGCCATCTTACCCCGCTCCATAGACCAGGGGCACCCGGCAGCGCGTCCCTTCCTTCAGCTGGGCTCACCTTTCGTTCCCTTGCACTCCCTCTCTCACCCAGGACTCTACAGCCGCCCCAGCCTCCAGCTAACCGCAAGACGACCCCTCCCTCGGTCTCGGCACGCCCCCTGGCGTCACCGCGTCTGCCGACGTTCCACGCAGTGCTTGCTGGTATTTGTATTTCTCTGGGAGATGAGAGGCTGCATGCCATTCATTGACTCAATGATTAAACAAATATATGCTGAAATCCCACTATAAATCAGGAACAGCGACACTGCGTATAAAGAGATGAACACATCAGGCAACGGCACTAACACCACAAATTCCTGTTTAACAATCTTGCCACATAAAGTGCAAAAGGCTCTGTAAACACAAATAAAGACAAAACTAGGTTTCTGCAATCTGTTGGGAGAACAGCTGAATAAGCAAAATGCTTCAGTAAGAGAGTTCAGAGACTAGAGCTCAGGGATCACATCTGGCTTTGAAGACTTCAAAGAGAGATGGGACTTACAGGGTTAAACAAACTGATTGGAATATGTGAAGAGAATCCAGAGAGTCAGCAAGTACACATTTTCACTGCCATGTAAAAGAGTAACTGGTAATAGATGGACTGGAAAGGTATTTCGGAGAAATACTGTGAAGAGCTTTAAATGCTGGGCTGAGAAATTTGTCTTGTATTCTAATGGTTTCACGATTCAACAAACAACTTCATCAAAAGCACCTGCAAGGTGTTTTGTGTTGTTTTCTAATACAGACTGTAGATATTACATCTGAAGATTATGGCCCAAGCAATTCCCCAGATTAGAATTTCAAAACCAGACTTATTAGTTTTTATTAGGAGCTCTGGTAGCGTAGGGGTTACAAGTTGGGCTGCTAACCTCAAAGTCAGCAGTTCAAAACTACCAGCTGTCCCTCGGTAGAAAGATGAGGCTTTCTGCTCCCATAAAGATTTACAGCCTCTGGAACCCTATACAGGGTCGCTATGAATCAGAACCAACTCCATGGTACAAACCAACCAACCAATGTTAGTTTTACATAACACAATGGAAAATCATTGAAGGTTTTTTAAGAAGAGGACTGATGCAGTCAGAATCTTGTCATTAGGAAATTTAATCAAGACCAAGTGTTAGCAGACATCTAAGATACAGTTGTCTCTTCTCATCTAGAGAAAAGGGAAATGAAGACTCAAGGAAGAAATTAATCTACAGGATTAGTGTTGTTAGGTGCTGTCAAGTCAGTTCTGATTCATAGCTACCCTATACATGTCTCTACTCCAGTAAGCTGATATATGTATATGTAAATAAATATATGTGTGAGTATAAGTCCTGGTGTGGCACTGTGGGCTAATGCACCACACTGCAAGCCATTTGAACTGCAAGGTCAGCGGTTCAAGCTCAACAGCTGTTCCTTAGAAACTCTATATAGGGTCACTATGGGTCGGAATCGATTCAAAAGCACTTAACAACAAGTATAGATATACATGTTGTTGTTAAGTACCGTGGAGTTGGTTCCAACTCTTAGTGACCCTGAACAGTGTTTCCGAGGCTGTAAAAGTGTGAGTCTCACAGAAATCAAGCAGAGAAAGAGGTAGATGGGAAAGGGTTGTTGTTGTTGTTGTTAAGTACGGTGGAGTTGGTTCTGACTCATAGTGACCCTGCACAGGGTTTCCGAGGCTGTAAATCTTTATGGGAGCAGAACGCCTCATCTTTCTCCTGCGGAACCACTGGTAGTTTTGAACTGCTGACCTTGAGGTTAGCAGCCCAATTCTTAACCACTACGCTACCAGAGCTCCTGGTAGTTATGTGCACATGTATATATAGACATATATACATGCACACATATATCAGCTTACTGAAGTAGAGACTAGAGGAACCCCTATGACTATATTCCTTTTAACTTGGAAACCACTCCTGGAGGTCACCTTTCAGCCAAATAATAAATTTGCATATAAAATAACTGATAATACCAATGAGGAATATATTCCTTTAAGCAAATGGGTCAACCTTCACACAAAAGTAAAGATGAGAAGGCAAGGAAACTGGATGGATGGACGCTAATCAGGTAGGGTAGAAATAGAGTGTTGACATATTATGGGGATCATAACCAATGTCAAAGAACAATTTGTGTCTGTGTTTAAGTGAGCAGAGATAGAGTTTGTAGATAGGAAGAGGCTACAGGAGATTACAAGACCTGAACTGTGGTGGTGAATGATGTAATCTGGTCAAGTCAATTCTGAATCATAGCTACCCTGTATAGGATTTCCAAGGAGCAGCTTGGTGGGTTTGAACCGCTGACCTTGTGGTTCGCAGTCCAGTGCTTATCCCACAGTGCCACATCAGGAGTCCAAGGAAGGTCTAAACTAGAAAAGTTATAATGAGAATGAAAAAGAATGTACAAATATGAAAAAGATTGTAAAGGAGGAATTGACAGGATTTACTAGATACAGGGAAGAAGGAGACTGGGTATTACTGCAAGGTTTGGATGCAGAGTGACTAGGAGAGTGGTATTGCCTTCAACAAAAAAGGGATGTCAGAAAAACGAAACTGCAAGGTGACGTTAAATACATTGTGTGGCACCGCAGGATAATGCGCTAGACTGCAAAGTCGGTTTGAACCTCAAGGTCAGCGGTTCAAGCTAACCAGCCACTCCTCAGAAACCCTATACAGGGTTGCTATGAGTCAGAACTGACTAGATGGCACTTAATAACAACATAATATTTCTGAGAGGCTATCCAAGAAACTTATCAGTAGTGGCAGTAAGGAAGGAGTCAGGAGTAGCAGGGAGATAATATTTAATTATATATCATTAGCACTTTTGAATTCTCTCCTTTGTTGACATAGATTTTCTGTAAAAACTAGTAGCTATTAGCTGAAAATACATATAAAATAATAACAAACCAGTAGTCAGAAGAGTTCCTGGTTTGCCAGGAACAGGACAAGTTGTAAAACCTGTCTGTTTCTAGACAGATTATCTCGAGCTGTCCTCATTTTATTTCATTACTCATCCTTAAACAATTTCAGACAGACAGATGTAGGAGGGTAGGGAGAGTATGGCATCTTTTATATTTTTAAAGATCTGTTGAAGAAAATTTGCAGGAGATCTCTTCTGGCACCCATTTTAACAACTCACTCCGCAGAAAGCTTTTCATCCAAGCAGAATGGCTTGTAGACTCTCTCTATATATATATATAATGGTGGTTACACTAGTTTCTACTACTGTCATTGGTTTTTTAGAACCCCACAGAGGCCCCAGATCTTACTGACAAGGCTGTGTGAATCAGGAGCTACTGGTGTAACTCAAGGGAGTATGCCTGCCCTCTAAATAGGGTATCAGGTAAGTGTGGAATTACTAGAAAAACACTGGACTGAGAGTCAAAGCCTTTGATTCAGTTCTGGCATTAGAAGTTAAAATGTTTTAAGCACGTTTTGTGTGTCAAGCACAGTGCACAAATTAAGTGCTTCAATATCACTAAATCCTTAAAGTAATCCTTTGCATGATGTCCCATTTTACAGATGAGAGGTTCAATAATACCCCAAGTCTCACAACTGGTGAATGGCGAAGCTGCTAATGAAACTCAGGCACATCTGATTCCAAAACCCATTTCCTATCAGTAAGACATACTGCCCCACCATACCCTCCACTGCCTTTAGTTTATTATGTGAGCCTAAGTAAATCATTTTGTCTTTCTGCATATGTTTCTACAGTGTAGTAGTACACTGTACTGCTTCCCAAGCATCTTCCAAATTACACCGTTAAGTACCTCTTCACAGAACCTTCTCCTTCTGCTTGTGTTGTTGCTAAGTGTCATGAAGTCAGTTCTGCCTTATAGTGACCCTGTATAGGGTTTCTGAGGAGTGACTGGTGGATTTGAACCAATGACTTTTCAGTTAGCAGTCCAGTGCTTATCCTACAGCACCACACTCCTTCCACTTACTTACTTTAAATCAATGGGTTTTCAATTCTACCTCATTAGGTATAAAGTGTCATACTCCCTGCCACCAATACCCCACCCCACCCCACCCCCACC